AAAATTAAGCTGGCATACAAATATAACATCGCAAAAAATCCTATTTCGCGAAAGAAAAATCTGCGAATGTAGAGGTCAAACTGCAACTGTTGGTCGTGAAAGCCAACGTACAGGTATCCCTCGATTTATGCGTTCTTCAAAAAACACGCGTAAAATGAAATTTTGTACATTGCAATGTCTTTTCCCGTTAATTTAACACCAAAAATGTGGGATACACACCTAAATCACTTTTCACAATACAAAAAAAATAATAAAAAAACATCAATATTAAAACGAATAAATAATGATTCATTGCAAACTAAAATATTTAAACTTTTCAGGGAACTCACCAAAATATCTGCTGGATGATGGAATAAGTGGAAAGGTGATGTAGAGGCGTTACTGTTACACAGCAGGGATACCGTGACGCTGCCACGGATGGATATGACGCAGCCTCCCAGGCGCTTATTGTTTGATCTCAAAGCACGTGCCGTGTGAAATTCCATGAATGCAGAAAGTCGATTTTGTTCATCGAAAAGTCCCCAGAATTTGCCAATTGCGTTCACGCGACATTTCGTAAACCGAACATTCGTAAAATCGAGGGATGTCTGCATCCATAGCAGGGCTTCTGGCATTAGTGGGAGTTTGTGCTTCGCCACAGCAGCGAGGCGCGGTGAACCTGGCCCCTAACCCAGTGTTTTGGAAGTGGATTACTTACTAACACCCAGATTTCAGAGTGCTTATAGGCCCCCAAATCCGAGAGATTGAAGTACAACACGTGGATGTGTGACCCATTTGTCTGGATTTTTGCGTGTAAATTAAACTATTTTTTATTTTACCAGGTAAGGCCCACTGAGCAAATTGCTTTTTTTTAGAAGCGACCTGGCCACAAATGATAGCTTAACAATGTGGTGCATCATGTTGAAATTTAAAGCAGCCATTTAGAATCAACGCATGTTGATTATAAATATGGAGGAAAAACTGGAGGAGCCGGAGAAGAATCCACGCAGCCATGGGGAGAGAGACACGCAAACTCCAAATATACAGCAGATATCAGTTGGAATCAAACCTACGCCCTCCTGTATACCAGGCGAGGCAGCTAATATCTTGCAATCGTAGCACCCACTGAGGAGCGTGTTAGATCACCATAAGTGAAGGTCTTCTCGGGATACTCCAGTTTCCTTTAACTTGCAAAACTCGCGTAAAAAAATTGGCAAAACACCTTAGGACCTTCCAGAAGAAAACATATCTTTAAACTTAGCAAAGCTTTCCTGGGTAAAAAATTTATAATTTCTCATACTGTACTTCAAATCTCATACTCCTGTTTCCAAGAACAAGCTTATTCCATGACCACACACACACAAGGCAACCCATTCAACAGCAATTGTAACCGAGGCTCACCACGTGTGAAAAATTGTCAAACAAATTCAGAGGAGAGATTCTCAAAAGACACCATTTAACCAGGACGATGAAATTGCCAATCGTCATGGAGGTGAAGGTTAACGCAAACGTTACTTTCGTGGCAAAAACGTGTGCTTAGAACTGTCCTCTCCTACGTTATGGAAAAAGTATCCTGTAATTATAAACCACTTGTGTTATTCTGTCTAACCAGTGCTGCATCCCTCATTAGTGGTTTAGTCACGTGGTTTACTGGGGGTTTAGGCGAGAGGCCTCTACATTTGTCACAAAAACACAAAAAAAAACGAATATACCCAGTAAATTACACACAAAGAGACAAAACCAGCACTCAAATACACTGGTGAATGCTGTATACTGGAAAGCAGTTTTCAAGCCAGCGATGGCATTTACGCGCTTCAACACAAAACAAGTTCGGGCCAGATGAGAGAAGGCAAAAAGCGGCGGGCAAGACGTTGTTTGGCCATCTCTGGCAAAGGCGACGAGCTTCGTGGAACAATGTGTCGAAGACGCGCGCGTGCCTTGAGGTGTTTTTTGCGTGGCAATTCCTGCGACAACGCGTGGCACAGACGCGGGGGCACGTGACCCCCCCTCCCCCCACATAGTGCCAGATTAAGCTAGTGCGGGGCCTATAAAATGTTATGACGGGGCCCCAAATGAAAATAAAAACACATAAATATTGAAACGCATACATTTTTAACTTGCACAGTAAAGTAATTGTATTTTTTCATTTGCTATACAGCCAGATAAAACGACAAATCGCTCATCTTAAACACCCAGTCGTTCATAAAAGTTGAAGACGGTATAGTACTATAGTAATAGAGCAAATGCAGAATCACTGAACCGGAATTTATAGCTTGAAAGCATTTAGCGCGGAGCCCTTGAAAGTGTGGGGTCCGTAGCTACATATGTAGGTACTTTTGCAATCCGGCACTGCCACCACCACGTGCAGGATGGAGTTCCCGTCCCCAGGCAGGGGCGAACGCATCGCCACGAGGGGTGAGTTCGCACTCACGATCAGCCGAGGATGGGCGACGCGGCCAACACTCATCCACAAAGCACGACTACAACAACCACCTCCCGCGTCTCTAAACACTGCACTGCCATGTAAACGTCTCTAAAACTCCCATTTCAACCACTTCTAAGGTCCCTAGAAAGCGAAATAAATGCCTCCTCTAAACCATAAAAAACCCGTTTAAGCCCATACACAGTTTACATCCGGGGATGCGTTCCTGAAAGGCGCGACGGCGAATATCAAAACGACGTAAAATCAAAGCGATGTACAGGGTTAGGTGGTGGTGAAGGCTGAGAGGTGACGGATAACAAGAAGGGACAGGTGATGTTGTCAGCGACGTAAGTGTGCGGGGGGGGTTGAGGTGACGCAACTTAGGTGGTGGTGGCGGTGGTGTTAATAATAAAGTGGCGACGTATTAGCGAAACGACGTAACGAGCAGGAGATGTACATCGGGGTAAGGCTGGACACCGCTCGCCACACCGCCCCAATACCACTGAGAACCCCCCCTCACTAAAACACAAGCGTCTCAGCCCCCTAACCCCCCCCCCCCCCCCGCTGTCTATAACCCTCGCTATAACACCGTCTCTAACCCCTATAGCCCGCTGCGAACCCATATCTAAAGACCCCTCTTTGAACCCCTCTCCACATCCATATGGACCCCCTGGTCCACCAGCAACACCGCTGATGCCCGTACACAACTCTCTAAACCTGTCACAACCCCCACTAGGAATCCCTCTACACCCCCTGAACACCTATCAACCCCCGTCTAAACCCGTCCACCGATCAAGCCCTTCTATTCCCCTGTAAAAACGCATGAACTCCAATAAACGCCTGTTTAAACAAAAAAAAAACAAAAAAATACGACGTTTCGATGACGCTCGCTTGTGTTGTGATTGAAACGTCGTAGTTTTTATTGTTATTTTCTTTGAACCTATCTACGTGACTTTACCCAAAGACCCAAAGAATATAGTAAAGTTGAGTATTAGACTCTTCCTTGTTTAACCCCAGTGACCCCAGGCGTGGGGGGGGGGGATGAAGGGGGAGGGGGGCGGTGGCGACACCCGTGGAATCGTCTATAAACTTTATATCATTACAAACGTATCAAAGCCCTATACAGGACACATCCATCTATACCAGTCAAAACCTGTCTATACGCCTGTAAACCTCTGTAAATCCCAGTGTAAACCCTCATATACTTCAATTAAAACCCGTATATACTCTACTACTATACCCGTACACCCCTTGTCTATAATCTTAAAATGCCTCTCTATACCCATGTAAATCCCAAGATAAACCCCACGTTTAAATACCTGTCAATCACCTCCTGCCTGTACCGTCTGTACCTGTCGATACCCCCCGTCTGTCCGCCTGTCTGTCCAACTGTCTGTCCGCCTGTCTGTACCCCTCTCTGCCCCCCCCCCCCCGTCTACCCGGTCTACTCTATACCCCAGTCTGTACCCGTAAGTACCCCTGTGTGTACCCCAGTCCGTACCAGCTGTCTACACCCCAGTCAGTCTGCACCCCAGTCAGTCTACATACCAGTCTACATCCCAGTCTACACCCCAGTATACACCCCAGTCTACACCCCAGTCTACACCCCAGTCAGTCTACATCCCAGTCTGTATCCCAGTCCGCACCACACAGTCCACACCACACAGTCCACATCCCACAGTCTACACCACCCAGTCCACACCACCCAGTCCACACCACCCAGTCTACCCCACCCAGTCTACACCACCCAATCCACACCATCCAGTCCACACCACCCAGTCCACACCACACAGTCCACATCACCCAGTCTACCCCACCCAGTCTACACCACCCAGTCCACACCACCCAATCCACACCATCCAGTCCACACCACCCAGTCCACACCACACAGTCCACACCACCCAGTCCACATCACCCAGTCTACCCCACCCAGTCTACACCACCCAGTCTACACCACCCAATCCACACCACCCAGTCCACACCACCCAGTCCACACCACACAGTCCACACCACACAGTCCACACCACACAGTCCACACCACACAGTCCACACCACACAGTCCACACCACCCAGTCCACACCACACAGTCCACACCACACAGCCCACACCACACAGTCCACACCACACAGTCCACAGCACACAGCCCACACCACACAGCCCACACCACACAGTCCACAGCACACAGCCCACACCACACAGTCCACACCACACAGTCCACACCACACAGTCCACACCACACAGTCCACAGCACACAGTCCACAGCACACAGCCCACACCACACAGTCCACACCACACAGTCCACACCACACAGTCCACACCACACAGTCTACACCACACAGTCAACAACACACAGTCAACAAACACAGTCCACACCACACAGTCTATAGCCCACAGTCCACACCACACAGTCTACACCACACAGTCTACAACCCACAGTCTACACCCCCAGGCTGTATTCGCTGTCTGTCCCCCAAACCTCCGCGGGGGGAGACCGCGCACCGGGGCCACACGGAACCAGGCCGAGGTCTCGCCTGGCTCGCCCCGCGGTGCCGCCGCCGCCGCCGCCGCCGCCGCCGCCGCGGGGCTCGCACCCACTCACCCCCAGATGATGTAGTTGGTCTTCACGTTCTTGGGCCACGAGAACTCGCCGAAGATCACCTCGTCGCCCTTCACCACGATCTCCTTCTTCTGCACGTTGTACTGCCGCAGCACGCTCAGCACGTCCGCCATGTTCGCCGCGACCCCCGGGGCGATCCGACACCGCGCGCGGAGGAATCGCGAATCGATTCCTCTGCCGGGCAGCCGTCTCCCCCCCCCCCCCAACACCTTCGGTTTGGCGGGAGATTAAACAGTCACACGCACGAGAATCGATCCAAGACGGGTGTGGCGGAGGAATCGATTCTGGTTGCTTACACCGAGTGGAGAGCGAATGTAAACACGAGAGGAATCGATTACGGTTTGGCGGGTTGGCGATTCCACCGGTGTCGCCACCGCCCCCCCCCCTCACCCCCCCACGCCTTGGGGTCACTGGGGTTAAACAAGGAAGAGTCTAAAACTCAACTCGACTATATTTTCATTAAAACTATATTCTTATATAAGGCACGTAGATAGGTTCAAAGAAAAGAACAAAAATAACAAAACAAACTACGACGTCTCGATTAACTTATCTACGTGACTTTACCGAAAGACCCAAAGATTATGAATTCCTGCACTCACGAAAGCTTTAAGTCAAGACTCAACGATGCTTTTAATTATTATTACCAGCTAAGACTCCACTGAGCTACTTGGCTATTTTGTTGTTGTTATTTTTGTCGCAGAAGCAAGCTGGCTATCACACATGACAGCTCAACGAAGTTGGCTCATAGTCGTCGTGCGGACATTTATAACAGCAGCCACAGGCTCTGAACGTGTGTACGTTGATTCTAAATGGGGAGGGGAAAAAACCGGACGACCCGGGGAAAAGTCCACGCGACCACAGCGAGAGACACGCAAATTCCAAATATACAGCAGCAGGCAGTCAGGGTCAGGATCGAACCCACGACCTCCTGCACACCGGGCGAGGGAGTGAACATCTCCTAGCCACCATGAACTATCAAGGCAGAACGAAGCCTCATCCACTCAAACGTGTCAGTCAGGCTGGAGGCAGTTGATGACGAGTGGCTGTAACCAACACCGCATGCGAGGAATGCATGGCAAGCACGACATGTCACCGTGTGGGTGGAGAGGCGAGAGGGACATTGGGCGGTAGCTGGTGGGTGAGTCTCGTGGCTTCGTGGATTTTAGGATGGCTATGACGTTGGCTCGCTTGCATGCTTTGCGGGATTGTGCCTGTCCTGTGTATGGCGGTGAAGACGGTGTGCGAGCCGTCGGTGTCCATTTAGTGCCCGGGGTTTTCAGGAAAGAACCGCCACCATTGTTTCAATTCCATTTATCTCAAGACGTGGGAAGTCTCACCAGCGGAGGCTACCAATATTTTTTCCCTGTTTGACCCCATAGATTCATTATCTGTTCGTTTTTTTAAAATAACAAAATATATAAATTTGATCTAGCGGCTGTCATTGAGGGTGTGTAACGTCGGCTCATTTCAATTAGGGCCGATTCTAAATGAGTCTCCTATTGATTCAGCCATTGCTTGAAATGTCTCTAACGGGTCCTCATCGAATACATTGGCGGTGCACGAACAGCTTCCGCATCTGTCCACTCAGCTGATTTTTGCTGTTCTAGTCGATTTTATGACGGCTATATTGTGTGGTACCCTGGGTGGGTTTGTATATGTTGACGAGGAGTTGTAGCCACTGGTTCATCACTCGAATTCCCTTCCTCCTTCCATGAAGACGCCATTCCCGGATATTTTATCGTCCGCAGAGTGGCTCGCCAGTTAATAGAAATAAACTCTGCCGCCGAATATGGTCTAAGACTAACTCGTGAAGACTCGGATGCAACTTAAAGTAAGACCCAGATGGATTCTGGCTTAGCAATCATTGGAAGGATTTGTTAACCATTTCGGGTCTTAATTAATTGTGTTCACGCTTACGGTGACTTTCAGACCGCATTCCATTCTCTTCCTCTATCCCCTCCTCTTTTCCGAACATAGATGGACTCGTTCATCTGAACAACTGCCAAAATCGCTGTCCGTGGTGCTAACGTTAAGAAAAAAAAACGCCACTTTTTTCAAATGTTCTTGCTCTGTTTTTCACACCTGATGATGATTGCTTGTGTTGCAGTCGAAACGTCGTGAGAATTTTATTGTTTTATATTTTTATTATTTTATTGCTTCCCTTCTACGTGACTTTACCGAAAGAACCAAGAATATAATATATCTTGTTATATAAAAGTAACAATGACAATACAACTCAGAATGTTCAATACGAAAAATATCCTGACTTTAAACTTAACTTCTAACTCTTAACTTATCTGTCCTTATCTTAGCTGCACAGAGCTATGTATATTGAACTTCTTTGCACCGTACGTAGCCAACCGTGCTAATCGGAGGTGCTAACACACATCTTCTCTCTTCGCTGTCCAGACCCTGTTTGGCTTCTTGAACTGACGCGTGTCAAGTGACATGACACCCCAACTGTCACACCCGCGAGTCGTAAGGAGCAGGGTTACTTCGCTCTGCGTCTCGACTACTTATGTTGGAAATGCAGCGTGTCGCGAGCCGGGATCTCGTCCCTATGATTTACCCTAGTGGTGTTCAGAGCCTATACCAGGGGTTGGCAACAATGCTCCATACCCCTTATCCCCTTATCAAGTGCCCTACCTTAACAATTCAGACCTTATTGGCCTCTTATAAATCTCAACGTTCATCCTACAAAGTCCTATCACTAGGGAGAAACATAAACAAATAGACACTTTTTTTTGCTCGTATTGAAACGGCTGTACACCGTATGGACCTGAAAACTCAATTTCCCTTTATAAGAATACGGGGTAAACCGTTTGGGTCGACAGGTATGAATGCTGCTCCGGAGCGGCATGTGGCTCTTTAAGGATTGCTTCGTCACGTTATTTATTAAGGTCCACCGTCTCCGTGTTCACCGCTTGCATTGCGGCTTATGCAAAATCGAGTTGTTTTTTTACCGAATTAAAAAAAAAATGGCTCTTCTTGTGATTTTGGCCTCCGACCCCTGGCCTGTTGCATGGTGCCCCTCTTTGTGTTTCGACCGGGGACCCATCTCTATTCGTCCCTCATTCAATCACTCAAATCCTTTCATTCATTCTCATTCAAGCCTCATTCAATCACTCCACTCATTCATTTCCTCAACCATCTCATACATACCTTTCATGCATTTACTCATTCTCTAATTTCTGCATTCCTTATTCTCACTCATGCCTCATGCGTTTACTCATTCCTCCCTCATTCGGTTATTCTTTTTTCAAATTAATTAAATCCTCACACTTTCATTCTTCCACAATTTACGTACGCTGTGTTCTGGCGAGCAGCAGCAACACATTTGATTTTGCAATGCACATGAGCGCTTTCAAGTTACAGGTGTTATATTTACCACTCCACATACCATCATTGTGAAAGAATTTTGCAACGCTTTTAAGGTAACATTGATCTAATTCCTCGCTCATTCAATCACTAAATCTTATCATTCATTCTCACCGCACACAATCACCGGGCTTCATGATGCTCCCCTCTGTACAGGGACGGCCATTGCTAGACGCATGTTAGTAAGCTGATCGTTGGACCTCGCAGCAAGCAAATAACAACATTTGATAATTTATACATGCGCATAAGGGGCCGTCCATAAATGACGTCACGCGATTTTGGACGATTTTTGACCCCCCCCCCCTCTTTGTCACACGGCGTCACAAAAAGTCAGACCCCCCCCCCTCAAATATGACGTCACAAAACTCTGCCCCCACCCCCCCAAAAATAAAACATGCTTCAAATCGCTTTAAACTATTGCCATTTTAGTGTGTATTTAATGTGGCGCTGCACTCTGATGTTGTAGGAAAAAACATGTATTTAAAAGTCTATTCAATTAAGTAGAACGTGTTGTCAATATTTATTTAAAGTTGCACATTTTGATGTGACGTCACATTTCTCAACCCCCCCATCGTCACACATAGTCGCAAATGTCTGACCCCCCCCCCCCCCCAGGTGCGTGATGTCATTTATGGACGGCCCCTAAGCATGTTAGAATTGTGAGGGTTTTACATGTGTGTAAGGACAGTACGGGGTGATGTAGGAACAGTACGGCTCCCCGTGGCCATAGTTACTAATTAACGTAACGGAACAGACAGGGTCACGTTAGGGTAATGTGGGACCGAAGTGGTCGCTAATAATGATTGATGCGACAAGCTTTGACAGCCTAGCGTGAGGGGAGGCACGGGACCTAACGGTAATAGATTGTAATAAGGGCAGATAGACAGGGCCAAGTGCAGTGAGAGAGAGGTTCGGGAATAGGAGCGTGGCCGGGTCGTGAGGGGGATAAAAGCCGGCGTGACCCGGGGCTCTGGGCTGCTGTTGTGGGGGAACTGCCGTCGCCGTCGTCACCTTGGAGCGGGTTCGTCTTCGTCATCCTGTATTCTTGGAAGGCTAGAGTTATGTTGTCTCAGAATAGAGTTACCTAAGTTACCCAAGTGTATATAGTCACTCGCGGTTGCTCGTTAAGTTATCAGTGAGTCGGCGGACTTTATTCATAATAAATATACATAGAACTGAACAAGACGGTGTCTCTGAGAGCTACAATACACGTGCAGTCCACGTAAGCACGTGTTTCGTTGTTGCGCCCGTAACTTGGCAAGGAAAGCTCGTGGATAAATGAAGCAACTCTTTTTTTTGCTTGCATGTCTACAGACGGGCTTGCGATCAATACCACACCAGTCCGCGTAGCTTGAAAAGTGTAGATTTGTATAAGGTGTGTGAAAAGTGGCACATAGACGAATTACAGACAACGGAAGAATTGTATATACTGTATATGGATGATGGTTAGTGTTTATTATAATTTGTCCTGTATTTATGTACCGTACGTAGCCAACTGTGCTAATCGGAGGTCCTAAGATCCACAAAAAACTATTTAGCGATTCACCTGTGGATCACGATCCACGTTTGGCCACCACTGCAGAGACAACCACAGAGGCATTCCCTCTGCACAGAAACGCAAAACATAAACAAACTCTCCCTCTCTCTACACACAAACACTTCTAAATCGTTTATGTCCACAATTACAAACATGTGCGTTCCAGTGCACAAATCAAACCGATGCGTTTCAGTTCGAGTGAGCCTTCCAAACGTTTGCCCTTGAA